TATATATATATATATATATATATATATGTATATATATGTGTATATATATATATATATATATGTGTATATGTATGTATATATATGTATATATATATGTGTATATGTATATATATATATGTATATATATATGTATATGTGTATATATGTATATATATATGTTTATGTGTATATATGTGTATATATATATATGTATATATATATATGTATATATATATGTATATGTGTATATATATATATGTGTATATATATGTATATGTGTGTATGTATATATGTATATATATATGTATATATATATGTAATGACCATGTCAACTAAAAAGTGACTAACTTTAACTTTAAGAGGGCTGAAAAGGCAGGATTGGGAAGTTATTAACATAAAGATATAAGTAAAGATCATAAATGCAAAAATCTTTTTTTTGCTTTCATTTCATTTATATCATCTTTATGACTAAAACTACAAAGTTATATAAGTTACAATAAACCAGATTAATGCTGAATGAATTCATCCTATTGTTGCTGAATGAAGGTCCAACCTCGTACTAGTTATTTGTACCTGTTGATGAAATATCTTCCGAGTACATAAAGACTGATTATGAGTCAAAACACAACCTGAGGAGGTTATGTGACTAATGACTATTGGATTGTTCCTTCATGGTTTTGCTTTGTGAGGCTGATGAACGCAGCAGCTGTTCACGTTGGCAGGCGAGAAGAATTTTCTCTTTTCAACAGGAAAACTTTTGATCTTTGAGCTTCGGCTCAAACTTTTCCATCTGAAGTACGATGAGATGACGACTGCCGGCATCTAGAAAGTGACCAGACAGTGCCGATTGTTGCTTTTTTTTATTGCTTTTCTACTATTTGATTTATGATTGTCTGCACATAATAGTCTAATGTGTCCTCTTTTCTTTTACCAAAGAGGGAGCTGAGGTTTTTGTCCTCCTCACATTTTAGCTTTTCTTTTCCAATCATCCGTTCCATCTCTCTGCTGCTGAAGTAAATGATCCTAAACCTCAGGCTTTCAGAGGAAAATATTATGATAAAGTTGGCTTTCAGCTCTGATAATAACAGCTCTCTGAATGTGTACAGCATGTGGGTAGAGGACATTTTATCACGACTCGTTCTTTAATTGTCGACGTGTCTCTGCCTCGTCCCCGAGCCATGAGGTGTTAATTTGATAACATGAAAGTAGAGGATTGTTCTCCTCAACGTACTGGATGTGCTGACACTGAAGGAGCTCTGGAAATTCTGACTTGGAATATAATCTGACTCCTCGTTTGGATATGTGACTCCTCACAGGTTAAGTATTTGCATTCAGTGTCAACATCCGTGTAATCCTTAAAAGAACGTACCTCAAGGTGTTCTACAGTGTCCCAGATGGAAACATGAGGCTTATGAAGCCTCGTTCCAGACCTCTGAATCACCCTTCAGATTCTCTTCATCACTTAAAATAAGTCTGGTTCCAGATCTGTTGGCTGTATGGAATTTACTGTAGAGACGATTCATAAACCGTTAACAACAATGGTCCCACAATCAACAGTTTGTCAAGTTATATTAGTAGGTACAGCAGTGATTGCATCAACATTGTTCTATGAACTATAATAAACATTATGACTGCTATGATAGGAGGCCTGATATACTTCAGAATGGACTCAGACAGCAGCAGATGCAGTTCTTTACTATATCAACAAGAAGAACCGTGTGTGTACTGCCGTGCATGTAGTCCACGGTCATACATTTCAGGTGCAGACATGAGCAGCACAAAGTCACAATCTGATAAATCATCTGAAAATATCTTTTCAGGAATATAAAGTATGTAATACTATAGATATGTTTCAGTTCCCTTTAGGGGTCATTTCTTTGTTCCCCCAAATAGTCACATACAGATGTTTGTTTAGGACCCTTTGGCATCACTTGGGTTTAGGCAACAACACTACTTGGTTAGGTTTAGGAAAAGATCGTGGTTTGGGTTAAAATAACTCAGCAACCTGAGAGTGAACAGGCTGGGTCCCCAGCTCTATGTAGCACGTAATGGGAACCTAAAACAAATATTCCCCAGCGCTATGTGCTTAATATGACATGGGCTGTTGTGTGAACGTAGCATGTAGTTGAACAAAGGTTTCTGGGAGAATGAGCCCTGACGACATCAAACCTTTTGAAAAGTTTGCTGAATGTATGTAGAGAATAACGGACTCGGGAACATCTGACCCTGGAATCATGGGACCTTCATTATGTTTCTCCACCACAGAACACTGGCAAGTTCATTTTTAGACTGTAAAATGTCCAGCTCACTGCATATCTTGGTCACATTTATACTTAAGAAAATTAACATCAGCTGATACATCGTTTTTTTATACCTCAAATATCAATATTCAACCTCTAAAAGCCAGTTATTGGTTAAAGGCTTTAATTTGTGTTCCTTATTGACATGACTACAGTGCTGTTATTATCATAATTATCTTTTCCATAGAACTTAGTGAATGTAGGTGGGAATTCATCAATCCGGCAGTAATGTGAAGTTTATTTGAATTCTCCGTCGTAACATCATGTTAACCTGCAGTATATGATTGTTGACACATTAAATACACATTTTGTCATATAATTTATGCATGTTGGCCAGCCAAAAGCAAAGTGAGGAGGCAGATGTTTTACAGTTCTTTACTGTTACTGAAATATCAAATGGGCACACTGTACCTCTGGTCAATGCTATTCAAAGCAACGGTACAATCTGAATGTACTACAAGAGCATTTAATCCACTCATACATAAAGGATTCACTCTCCCAACCTGCAGAAGCCTTCTTATAGTCACTGTCAGCGCTGATGAGTTATTAATGCATTATACTCCAGTTACTCCGGTTGATAGTTAAAGCATGAACATAGACGTGTAGTACGATTAAGTAACGGTTCTGTGTTGAGGAACACTGAAAAAGAAAACTTTGCAATTTCAAATTTACGGAAAATATTTCTGGAACCAGTGGTCCACAAAACTTTACCCATCTTCATGAAAGTCTATAGCAGACACAGCAACTGCATTTAATAGTCTTCTATTCAATAATGAAACAAGGTGAAATAGAAGTTAACTAGATGAAGCTACAGTTATAAATATGAACGTGGCCCAACATCACTCTGTATGTCCTGTGGGAGGAATGGGAGAAATCATAACTTCCTTTACCATACCTAAAAAAACTCCTGTATCAAGAAGAAATCTAGCACCAGAGGAAGTAACTGTCTGCTTCAGTCCACTGAAGTGCACACAAAGAAAGTAAAAGATGGAGGAAAGATCATTACATCTTCTGTATCTTTATGTCGGAGGGATGAGCTTCATCCTTTAATGCTGCTCCTCATCTTTAACACAACGAGCTCAGAGGATGTCTCACATGTGTGATCACACTCCTCCGTTCCATGTCAGAGTTTTATGAAAGAAGGCATTGGAAGAAACGGAGCTGAGAAATGGAACATGAAGGTGGCGAGGTTGTTAAAATAATAATGTTGTTGGGCTTGTGGTCTCATTTCATCAAATTCCTTCCATGTCTTTATGAGCTTTTTTTCTTTTTACTGTGCAAGGAGGCGGATTTCTTTCCATTTTACAGGGTTTAACATTTTACTAAAGGAGACAGATGTGTTTGATTTTGAGTGTGTTCTGTCATCTTCATAACAGGTGAAAGTGGGCCAGGAAACATGCCAGACCTAAAGCTGTGTAGTAGGGCCAAAGAAGAAGAACATCGTAGAGGTTCTGAACAGGAACAATACATTCCAATAAGGCAAATTACATCAGCTGTGTTTCAACAGGACAATTTCTTTTTCCCATGTTCCGTGAGCCAATTCCTTTGTATTTTGGGTGTAATTTCAATAACATACAGCATCAGAGGAAGCTAGGGAAGGGAAAGTTTTCACTGCTCTTTGCACATCAAAACCTTTGTGTTTCTGGAAGATTAAACAAGTGTCTTTTATTTTTAGTTTTGCGTGGTCACTTGGTTTTCTGTGGTTTTAGGACCACACTGGAGGCGGAGCGCACACAGGAGAAGGCTGTCGGTGAGATCTTCTGGGGGTCCATGTAGTTGTTTTCCAGCCTCAGGGCCACCATGGTGGAGTCCCCGCTGTGGTTTGGGTCACAGATGCTTTCGTCTGAGACACTCCTGAAATCAGGACGCAGTTAGATGCAGCGTCAGCAGATATAACGAAAAGTTTAACGAATGTCCAATTTTCATTATCAATACATATGACGATTATTTTCTTAATTAATCATTAGGTCTATAAAATGTCAGAAATACATTTTAAAAATGCCATCACAGTTTCCTAAAGCTCACTGTCCAAATCCAAAGAGATCCCGTGAACTTATCACACAAAGCAGCCGATCTTAACGATGGAATGACGCAATGTTTGGCTTTTTTTTGCTCGAAAAATGTCCAACGTGATTTATTGATTATCATAATTGTAGTTAATTGTTTCAGTTATATTCGACTACAGCAGTAACAAATTAATTATAAAATCAGAATCATAATTTTCATTTTATCATAACAATGTTTCATATTCTCTCTGGTGTAGAGCTTCACTGGGTTTGTTCATACGTGTCAGGAACAACATTTGTTAGGAATTTCATTAAGGAATATCTCCAAAATGTGACCACAGAAATGCTGAAATCATGGTTTGGTTAAAGGTCACTATAGATTATAGCAGTTATCTTTTTTTCACCACGTTACCTAAATCACAGTCAATTCAGAATGCTGCATCCAATCTTGGCAGTGAAGATGGAGCGTGGTGTGGAGTTTAAATAGTTTTACGGGTGTTTAATTAGGATGTAACTTTTCTCTGAAAGCGCGCTGCAGCCTGGACTAAGTGTGTGTCGTAGTTGGACCTGAGAGTGAGTAATGAGGTGGTTCAGGGTGACTCTCAGGTGGAAACATGCTTCAACTTGTTTTGTTTCTTGTCGTCAAGACAGCGCTCCGTTCAGTGAACTTTGTCTGGTGGGCTGAAGTGACTCAGTCGTCTGGATTGAGTTTAGACTTTTTTCTTTCTTCTTTGAGCTCTGTCTTTACTCACCTGGTTTTATTGTTTCTGTCGGCAGCTTCTGCTACTTAAATTAACAACGAAGTCATTTTGTTTGTAGTTTGAGAAAGAAACAATCTCTATTTCCATAATAAAGACGTACCAATAACTAACAGGACCCTCGACCCTGGTAGATGTTTGGTGACGCTGGCTTCATACCTGATGTTGTTGTCGTTGAGTCTGAGGAAGTGTAAGTTGGTCATCTCGTTGATGCCAGACGGGACAGAGATCAGCTGGTTGTGATCCAGACACAGCTCCACCATGGACTGGTACGAGCCGAAGAACGACTCCGGCTCGATGGCCTCCCCGTCCAGTTTGTTGTACGAGAGGTAGAGGTACTCGATACCAGGGTCCATGTGGGCGAAGACGTAACCTGTGGAGGTATTGGAAGGAGACAATGTAGCTATGGGAGACCATGAAACTGTTTTTGGAGAGTCCACTAATGATTATTTTGATCATATATTATGTCTATAAAATCTCATAATTAAACTCTAATGCTCTGTTTGGTAGGTGAATGAAGTAAAGGGTTGTGGGACAGACAACGATGGTGCGGTGAATATTGTTATTGATTTTCTTTCACATTTTCATGACTATGAGATACAAAGGCCGAATCTTCTGACTACAACTCCTTCTAAGTGGACTTTAATTGCCCAACTAGGATTCTCTATTGCTCTGTACAGATGCAGTAGTAAAACGGTGGTTACTCATGTGTTTGATGTAATTAAACTTCTTCAGCTCAGCCCGTCACAATCACCAGCCCTGCTGCTGATCCCTCAAAGTATCTGGAACTTGGTTTAGTTTCACATCCTGAGCTGTTTATTTAGTTCCAGGAACCCTTTTTCTCAAGGGACGTGGAAAACAGTGGAAACAAAAGCAGAACCAAAGGATATGAATACTTAATGAACATTTTTCTTCAATGAGTCCCTGCATTTGAAAAGGGTTATACATATTTATGTGTCTAGCAGCTGTTACTTGATGTACAGACTGGCTAGAAACATAACACCCTCATAATCAATTTAGAGCTCTTTACATGCTGGAGATGTTTGTTTTTGTCAACCAGTTAAAGCCCTCCCGTCTGTGAGGAGTCATGTTTGTCAGCCAGGTGTCACTCCTACCAGGTATCCTCTCTATGTTGTTTCCCACCAGCACCAGGTGGACCAGAGATTTGGGCAGGTATGATGGAACAAGGTAAAGGTCATTATTTGAAAGGTCGATGGACTCCAGATTTCTGCAGAGGAGTAGGAAGATGAGGGGAGGAAGGATTTGGAAGGAAATGACAACTTAAGTGTTTGACAGTGTTTGATGTGCAGCTGGTCGGAGAAATACGGAACAGAAATGAGAAACAATCCACTGAGGTTCTGTCAAACTAGTGCCAAAACAAATGTTCCTGTACTCTTTGAAACAAGCGGTAATACATCAGTACAGGGAACATACACTGCTGGAAACAGCACATGACAGTGTGGTAGTGAAATGAAAGATATCTGTGTTGGTGACAGCCAAAATGAGGATTAAATAGCTAGTAAATCCCTGGGACCCTGGAGAATGGAGGGTGATAGTAACGGGTCTCTTTCTGTCAGACCTGTGGTTGAACCAGGCCAGCGGGGCGATCCTGGTCTCGTCCAGCCTGTTGTGTCTCAAAGAAACCACGTTCAGACTGTGGGTCTGGTTGAAAGCTGTCTCTGAGATCTCCTCAATCAGGTTGTTCTCCAAGTACAGCTCCTAAACAACAGAAAACAAGAAACCAAATGGTTGACATCAACGGAATCAGAAAGGAAAATGCTTTCATTGGTGGAAACTTGTGGAAAGTTACTTGAGTTCAGTGTCAGAGCCACAGTAGGATGTGACATATTTTCTAGTTTTTAATGAGCTATGAGTTTGTCATTGAACTGTTGTGTTAACTGAGTGCTTTTGGTTCAGAGGTCTTGGCAGACAAGTCTGTGGTCTGTTGGGACTGTTTCGGGTTAAATGCATAATCCACCCTAAAAATAAATTCATGTTTGTTCTACCTAAATTCTTAAAGGAGCAGTTTGTAAGATTTAGGGACATTTAGTGGTGAAGTTGCAGATTGCAGCCAACTGAATACCTCTCCGCTCACCTCTCACTTTCCAAACATGTTGGAGAACCTCTATCTTCTTAAGAAATCACACTTGGTTATACAAAGGTGAAAGTTTCTGATAAATCAGCTAAAATAATTAGCAAAGAACAAATGTTGACGGTAGATCACGATCTTCAGGACATATCTAAGAATATGTGTGGGCTTTTGGATTTGCAGAGAGTGTGTAGAAACTCTAAGTTCATAACATAAGGTTGGTTTTAAGGTGGATTTAAAGCAGCAGCAGGCTGCTGATGTTTGTGGTTAACCAGAGGCCATAATTACAAGTCGGGTGGTGGACTGGTTTCCCACAGGTAGAAGCAGAGTTTACTCAGTGGAGGAGTTTTAAACATCAGAGCGAGGAAAGAAAATACTGATGCATCAGCAAATCTACATTCCTGACTGACTAACTGCAGCCAGCTGCTCAGAAGGACTTCAATAATGTGACTGAGTGCCTGAAAGATTTAACTTATTACATTTATTGAGCTTTACTCAAAGTATTGTACCTGTTTCTGCCAACTGTAGAAACATATTGAACTATGGAGGATTGAGCCATGATGACTAGTTACGTCTCAGTCAGTTTTCTATTAGCACCATTACAGCAAAGCAGTTCGTTTTTGAACCCAGTAGATTTCATTAAAGCCAGAGCACTTTGTCCTGGACTGGCTATGTGAGGTATCCCAGCGCTGGAGAGATACAGAAGTTATATAATGAGATATTACTTCATACCAGCAGTGAAATGGGAAGGCCTTGTGGTATGGTGCGGAAGTAGTTCCTGCCCAGTCGGAGGTAGGAGAGCTGGATGAGGGGAGCGAAGGCCAGAGGATCTAAATTCCCCTCACTCAGCAGATTTCCCTCCAACTCTAGAATCACCAGGCTGCTCAGATCTGAAAGATGATGAAAGAAACAAACAGATAAACGTCACTGTGAACTGGAGATGTGTCTCGGAATCAGCAACAGAACAGCAAATTCTCATTTTCTTAATAAAACAATGCACTTACAGTAAAAAATAAACTATTTGTGAATTATGTAATGCAAAAGATGATTATTGTTCATTGGAGAAGAAGACGACCGACATCGTTCTACGACATGTTACCTCACAGACAGCCGTCGTCTCATTGGCTGTGTATTGAAAGATCTCTGACACATTTTTGTGTATTCTGTGACATTATAGCTGACGTCGGTATGGAGGTGCATTGTGGGAAACTGTGGCCGTCACCTTGGAAGCTCTTTTCATGGATTCTTCTCAGTCGGTTCTCGTTGATCTTCAGCTCCTGCAGGGTCGGGGGAAGGTCAGCGGGCACGGCTTCTAGAAGGTTCCCGTCCAAGTACAGACGGCTTAGCATCTTCAGACCCTGACACACACACACACACACACACGTGTACTGGTGATACTGGTGATACTGGTGATACTGGGAAGTTGACTGCACCCCTTCATACTACAAATATGAATTCCTTAGCTTTCAGTCAATGCCCATTTAAAAAGAAGCTCATTTTTACGAGTCTGTTTATCATGAAATGCGTTTAAAAACACAAACATATTTTTATTCCTTACTGGTCTTGATGGTCTATTCGACACTTAAGGTCTTTGAGAATATTGTCGCCATTATATCACAGAAATTTTCCCATATTTCATTTCCCTCTGGTTGATTGCGTTACTTTACCTTCACGCTGTGGTCGGCTCGAGGGAATAACTATTTAGTGTATATACTGTGCATTTTTATTACTTTATTTTCTTAAATTTAATAGGTCCTGCTCTGTTATTTCATTATATTGTATATATTGTGCATTTTCCATACTCAATATTTTTATTTTATTGTGTAACCCTGTTTGCTGCTGCCACAGACAAATTTCCCCTTGGGGATGAATAAAGTATATTTCTATTCTATTCTATTCTATTCTAACTAGAATTGAGTGAGAGGCAGATGATTGGGGGAAAAGTTGGGTTTTATTCTGAAGGGCTACAGTGGTTTAGCGTCTTACTTTGAAGGCTTTGGCATCAATGCTGTTAGAGGTGAGTTTGTTTTTCTTAAGGTTGATCCATTCCAGGTTTGGGATGCCGTTGAAGGCTTCTGCTGGGATGCTGCTGATGTTGTTGCCTGCAGTCAGAAAAGTTTCAGTCAGTTCACGCCTAGAGCAGGAGAATGTTCTCTGTGTGTCTTTTGGGGGTTGAGGTTTATTTATTTGCATCATTTGTTCCTCAATGTGTAGTATTGGGTTCAAATCATTTATTTGGTTGATAAAATGCCAGAATTTGCAACGCTTTAAGTCTGACAACAATATTTAGTCTCTCCTCGCTCTAATGTATAGTACAGGTGGCTGCTTTACATTTTTAGCTGGTGAGGTTGTGTCAGTTCTATATAATTAATATTTATTCTGTAAGGTCACAATTGGCTTTTATCAGATTAATGTGCTCCCTAAGAAGCTTAAGTCAGTTTACAAGGTAAAAGATGCAGATTCACGAGTAGATCGTGTGTTTTTGTTGTCCAACAGAGTGAAGCTTGATCAGCTGATCGTGTCAAATCAGTTTCTGGAGTCAGTCTGGTTTTGGTCTTTTCATGGGATTTGTTGATAATAAATAAACTTCATAGTTCTGAATTCGTTTTTTTGAAGCAAGTAGCAAATGAAAAACAAGCTGTGCAAAAGGCTGCAACTCATCAGAATTACACAAAAATGTGTTTTTGTAGTTTTAACTTTAGTTTCACATTTATAATTTGATTCAGATAAGATATGACGCTGACCCTCACAGTGGTGACGTACGCTGTGTTAAAGTGATGAAGGTTTGTTGCAGTGTGTGCAGCTCTACTTTCTCCTCGTCCTGTCGACGTGCTGACTTACCCTCCAGACTCAGAGACTTGAGCTTCGGGATGGACAGAGGAGGGAAGTATGTGAGTTTGGCGTTATCACATGTCAGAGTGACATCAGAGATGTCGCAGCCTGGAGGAAGGCCTCCTCTGTTCTCTACCACCACCTCCCTCTCCTCCTCCTCCTCCTCCTCCTCCTCCTGCTCCTCTTCTGCCTCCTCCACTGCTGCTTCCATCTCCTTCAGCTCGGCCTCCGTCGCAGCAGGAGTTTGTGGTATCGGAGCAGGGAGGAGGTCTGGTTCCTTGGGTTCTTTTGGAAGCATCTCAAACACGTCTCCTCTCAGCCACACCTCCTCCTCTACCTTTTCCTGCTCCTCCTCTTCCTCATCCACCAGAGCCAGTAGTTCCTCCCTCAGCAGCTCCTCCTGTCTCCACCTTTCCTCCTCTAGCTTCCTTTCCTTCTCCCTTGCTGCTCTCTCTGCCACCTCCTTCCGCCTCCTGTCTTCCTCATCCTGTCTCCTCCTCTCCTCCTCATCCCCCCTTCTCTCCTCCTCCTCCATATGCCTCCTCCACTCCTCCTCCTCCTTCTCCACCTGCATTCTCAGCGCCTTCTCCTCCTCTCTCCTCTTCCCCTCCACTATCTTTCTTTGTTTCTCCGCCTGCTCCTTCCTCTGCTTCCTCCTCTTCTTCCTCGCCTCGTCCTTCTTTGTCAGGCGTTCCTCCTCCCCGCGGTGCTCCTCTTCCTCCCGCCAGAGGATACGCTGGATCTCCTCCTGGGTCAGCGGGGTCACGGGCTCGCCGGGGTCGTTGGGAACTGGGGAGTCACCAGAAAGGTCAAGGCTGTCAGGGTCTTGGGTGGGTGTAGGGTGGGCCAGGGCAGCCAATCAGAGCGCAGGAGGTGGTCAAGAGGAAAGTTGACAAGGATAGAAAGAAGGAAGGAAGGAAGGGATAGAAATAGGAGAAGAAGAAGGGGAGGAAAAAATAAAGACACTAAAAGAGAAGATACAGGATGGAGGTGGACAGACAGACAGACAGACAGACAGACGGCTGTGTGTTAGTGTTGCAGACAGACAGGTACAAGACCAGCTTGTTGTAGCTACAGAGCCGACGGCTGCTGTAGACCAGTCTGGACCAGATCCCAGTGGACTGCTCTGGTTTGACCACAGTCAGGTAAAGTTGGTCTTTTTGTGTTCGCCAATGTTGCCGCCAGCCGATACTGAATTTATACTAAATTATTTGATGTTTTGCAAGTTCTATTCTGCATTGGAATGATATTTGAGTGTAAATAATTTAGACCAACCTTAGCTCACTTGTCTAACACTTAATGCTGTTTTATAGTCATAAAAGTGAAAGATGTCCTCCGACATTCTTCTGAGTATAAAACAGCTTTTAGAGTTTTTTCCTCCTCCAGAGCAGACGTAGTTTTCAAACAGTGTACTTATACAGATACGTACATGTTTCTATGGTTAATGCAGTCATGTTAATGCTATATCCATCTACACACGGTGATAAGTCACAGACACAATGCTGCTGCTCCACCTCCATACATGCACAGTGACGGTGTACGACTGTGAGCAACGAGTTAGTTACTGTCAATTCAGCTACTGCAGTTTCAGACTCAGATTCCAGTCTTCATTTTAAACGAGATTGAATTGACAGTAAGATGAAACTGATCCTGGACAAAACAACATGTGGTATCTCCCAATATACAGACATGTTAACACTTTCACAACATGTGTGTTGAACTGACCCAAAATATGCTGAACACATTTTTTTAAGCCATAATGGGAGCAGGAAGCAACATGCTGAGGCCTCAGAGACGGAAACTGTTTAATTTAATTTATGACAGGAGACGTGTGACAAGAAATGTAACGTCCATCATGAAGAGTTTCATCTACTATTTGATCAAATGAACCTGTTGGAAAGCTAACGGTAGAAGTGATTGTGACACCTGAAAGCCTTCATATATTGATCCTGATTGTCAGAACCGTTGCTCATCTCTGTTGCCTCTTGATGTTGCACCATGGCGTTGCCACATGTGTTTCTACCTGACTCCATGCAGACGGGGCAGCACTCCCCAGCAGGGGTGAAGGGGAAATGGCAGTGCATTTTGGGACAGGTGAGCTCGTCACAAACCATCCGCCCTCCGGTACACAGACAAGTCACACAGGGCTTTGGAGACCAGACGGCCTGGTCGAACATGGTCAGACCCTGGAACACACACTGGCCCTGCTTACCTGAAACAACAGACACGTCACAGTCACTTCAGTCGTTCAACATAGTTCAGAATCTTTATGAGCTGGACTCACAGTGGGCTGAGTATGAGGGGAGTAAAAGTCACTTGGTTATTGTTAAAATATGATCTATTTCAGTCAGCAGATACCAAACTTTTAAGTATAATATATGTTATATTTTATTATATATATATATATATATATATATATATATATGCTGTTTGACTACCAGGACGCCCCCAGCTGCCATTTTTGTTTGGGTTAAGAAAACAGATTTTTGATTTTTTATCACTGCGAAGCAGGAGAAGTTAACTTAATGCTTGATGTGTTTATCAAGGAAAATAGTTGATTTAAAACCACCTGTGCAGCTGCAAACATCTCATCATGTTTGTGTGGCCTTTGTTGACGGAAGAGGAAGAGGATGCTTCTATTCCTGTTTCCACCGAGGGAAGAGCTGTCAATGAGCACGACCGCAGACGGCGTAATTGAATCAGTGAACAAATAGTAAATGTGTGCAGTGATTCAGCGGTCTAGAACAAAGCAAATCCAAACCTGTGAGGGGTCACACGCTGACCCTCGTCTTCCTCCTCAGCAGCAGCTGGCAGTAATTGCTGTGTGCGTCTAGTCAAATCTAAAGCCTGTACTTTACCATCAGAACCAGACAAAGCAGTGGTTTGTAGCGTTTCCACTCCTCCCTCTGCATTAACTCCACCTTTCAACATCAGGACGAAGCTGTGACTGGCAGTGAGTCAGTAGAAAACACTGTAAACCACTATGATACGGCAGGAAGTAGTCTGTGTCTGTGCTGTCTGTCATCTATCTGTTCTAATGGTATGCTCTTTGTTACGTCCATAGAAGCACAGGTAGTTAAGAGGCTCAGGTTATTTCTCTTAAATACTGTCTCTCCTATTGCTAGAGCAGTGTCACTGTCACCCTGTCATCTCTGCAGGAGCACTCATACTTTAGAGCTTTTCTTTTCTGCCTAAAATATGATCCTGCTGTCGTTGAATATCTTAATTTGTCTGGTAAATTGCAGGGTTTGTTTAAATGATACAGCAACCATCAGACTCTGCTGTAGCACCATTGTTCTCTGGTGTTCACTGCATATTTTCACGTGTTTTACTAGCAGTCAAACAGTTGTTTCAGCGATTCACAAAAAATGAATTGTCAACAGTTTAAATAATCAGTTAATCATTTTTTCAAACAAAAACACTCCAATGAAAGTATTTTCTGCTTTTCTCTGTTTTATCAAATCATCATGAACTTAATATCTTTGCTTTTTGGACTATTGGTCGGACAAAACAAGACATTTGAAGATGCCTCTCATCTTGTGTAACCTAAAAGTACTAAAGGTTGAAAGAAAATGATGTAAATATAATTTAATTCAAGTGAATGATGATTAAGATGAGAGGCACAATGCACCAGAGTTATAGAGGACGTACGCTCACTTTTTCAATCATTCTCAGTGCCTCAGAATATGATCATCCACCACTCAAAATCTAGTAGGTTGACCTAGAAACTACCATAACCAACATCAAGTCTTAATTTAGGTGTCCTGTAACGTTGACACAGATGATTTGTTATCATGTCGGTCTGTGCAGGATAACCACCGCTTCACCCGGCTTTATCTTAAAGCTCAAACTGGTAGAATAGATATTTACACACTTAAATCTCTGCAGAGAACACTTCATCAGAGCACACATGGTTATCATGTCGGTCTGAAATCTGTAACTTTCTGTCTGTGAACTGCCGTCTAATCCGTTCGGTTGTCGTTACATCACAGTCAGATCTGCTTGTCTGAACACACGAGGCATGTTTCTCAGATCCCAAACAACAGCGAAAAACGGAACCAAATAAATCACTCTGCAGCTCTCGACAACAGGCGGCCACCAGCACCACCTTCCCTTCTAATTACATAATGCTGACTTTATTGTTTTAGACTGAAGGGCTTTTACGTGGCTTTGAGGTCCGTCTTTAAAGCCTCCGTCCTGTGTGGGACTTGTTTTCTGTCGATCTCTTTTCCCACAGATGGTTTTCTCTTCTGTTCATTGTGAAGCCTCAGAGCTGAGCTGTTCTCACATCCTGTTTGATTAAAATGTGCTGTTTCACTTCAGCTGAAGGTTTTTATTTCTTGTGTTAAAATGATATTGATTATTAAGATTATATGGTGTCAGAAGGTAGAGTTACTGGTCTCACTGA